ATAAAAACTTAAAATATAATAATACTAGCAATTTTTAACATGACCAACTACTAGTAAACAACTAATTTTACCCAAAAAAATAGACACATCTAATTTATAATATGCAATTTCTTATATTAATATACAAAGGAGAAATATATATGAATATATATACATATACATATATATAATTCTACAAGGATAGCTAATTTAAATTAACTAATATTATTTGACTTTGATCTTCGAAATTAAGTTCTGGTATAATTCTTAATATATATTTTAATAAACTAATATTATTATCATTAGAGTAATAATTATATTTACTCATGTTGGTTATTTTATTCAATTTATTAACATCAATCAACTCATTTTACCAAATGTTTTAACACAACCCATTAACATAATTCGCTGATCAAAACAATTCAATACTATTCGCTGATCAAAAAATTGATATGATCCGCTAACAGTTAATCGCTAACCCGCTATTTGTCAAACAAGGGTTAAATCTCCTTTATCAGTTTATTCGTCGTCCTGCACTTGATGCCTTTTGCTAGAATATTATTGCTTTATCGAGAATTCAACCCCACGCTAGAAGCTTCAGTTATATATAAAGAGAGTCAACTTGCTTTAATTTTAAAATAAGTAATAATAATAATAATAATAATAATAATAATAATAATAATAATAATAATAATAATGAGATAACTACAATGAAGAAATATATAAATACAAAAAGTAAAGTAACTAACATTATTTTGTACCATGTAAATTATTACCTAAATATGGAAAATATTTGAGAAAAATATGTTGAGATATCCTTCTACCAAAACATACCCTGTTAGAGTCTTACTGCCACCAATTATAGTGTCGTGGAATAATTGTACAATGAAAGTGGTTGCTAGTAGCCTAGTAATCTCCCTCGGAGCATTTACAATGTTTTGTGTTTATTCACAAAAATATATGTGCCACATAAAAAATAGACCTAGTCAAAAAAACTATGTACTTCAATGCAAGTACAAGTGGACCAGGTCTCGCTTATGTGGCAGCAAGAAAAAGAGACTCGGTCTAGCCTTAAGTCTATTTTAGACCCAAGTAGAGACCTAGTCTTTTTGCATTTGAGTTAAATTTATTACATTTTTATATTTTTGTACATGTCATCCAAGACTTAAATTTATTAACTTGTCATATAAACACAATTAGACCCAAAACATTGTACGTGCTCTCAATCAATAGTGTTTATTACTCTTGACTTTTATCGTATGACAGCTACCAATTTTACTAGCCCGGAATATTGTGGCCTAGTCGAGTTGACTTGAAGTTTTATATTAAAATATTGTTGTAAATCTATAACACAATAAAATGAGAAGTATAATATTTTATAGTATAAATATGTAGATTTGATTTTATTAAAAGTATGATTATCAGAGATTTGTCTAAGTGATGTACAACAATAATTATAAAATTTATAAATTATTATAAGCTGTTATATATCTATTTACTACCAATTTACCCTAGTAAAAGTAAAAAAAAAAAAAAAAATAATGATAATAATACTCTATTTACTAATTTAGACAAGTGAGTGTGTATTCAAATTCGAAACTCTCATAATAATCATCTGGAAGCAAAAGACTAACTGTAGCTTTTTTGACATTGTTAATTACTCTTGTCGTGGATTGGAAGCCCCCATGCATTTTTACTTAGAGAAAATTATCGTGCATACCTACTCAGTCCAGTATGAATTTCTATTTACTTAATCATTTATTGAATGTTTTGAACTTTTTTATATTATATTTACATGTATTGTGTTTCCTTTATATTTCAAATTTCCAATGCAATATTCATCTAACTTTCATAAACAATTTTAACATAACTATTGGAATATCACTTGTGAGTATTGATTTGATAGGGTAAATGAGTCTAATTTATAAGCATAGTGGGCGACTCATCCCATCACTAATTGGTTTTGAGATTGAACCTCAATAAGGTGCATCTAGGCTCACTCTCTTATATATGGTGCGCTTTACTGTATGGGACTACATCCTGATTCCCCCGATTATTAAGAATTTGACAATATCTCCTTGGGGTATAAGCAGATCATCCGAAGACTATCACGAACTAGACAAGCCCATATAATAACCTCTATCGAGCACCGAATACATTAATCCAAGATGTGATCCCTCTTATCCCGAGCTAATTCACAATTCCTACCCATATAAATGTTTTATACAAAACGTGATACATGTGAGATTTATAGAATCGGGGGAAGAGAGTGAGATTTATAAAATCGTGAGAAGATGATGTGCTCCCACGCGGGTGAACCGCATTATAAGAGAAGTCTAGGTGCACATTGGTGGTGTTTCATCCCAAAATTGATGAGAATAGTAACCCACTAAGCATATAAGCTAGGCACAATTTCCCTATAAATTAAATCAACTAGTATTATTACTCATGTACAACATAGGTGTTGATTTAGTGAATATATGTGTAAAGTTATTTATGTCTAATACCAAACTTAACTACGGAGCAAAAATAATATAAAAACAACATCACGAAACATAGATTTTTGCCATATCAACATCCGAAGCGTGAGAATCTGTCACCTGGGCTCAACACGTTTTAAATTAATATATAAAGAGGGATGTGGCAACTCACAGTGCCCAACCACACCGATTGCTCTTCAATATTCATCTCTTTTTCTTTTTGTTTGGTTGACGTTGTTTCTAGTATTATACTCTCAAGTTTGACCAAATTATATGCTTTGCAACAACTGGACAACAGTTAAAAGTATGAACAGTTTAAAAGACAAATACTACTACCTGCGTGCCAATCAATTATTACTACTGAAGACTTCATTAATGCAACTAATAATTATGATTATCAAATTCAGCATTGACAACATAACATGATAATGACTACTGATTGTATTTTTTTCTTCTAATGAGTGATTCTGTCCGAGAAAATAAAAAACCTTTAGCTTAAATATTGTTGAAAGTGAAATTAATCGGATCGCTTGAGAGAGAGAGAGAGAGAGAGAGAGAGAGAGAGAGAGAGAGAGAGATTTGATAAACTGAAAAGGTCTGAAAATGTTGCCTTTGCAGTGGCGGCTTGGGCTTTGTCTTAGTACCCTCATTTATGTATACAGTGTGGGTTAGTTTTAGTTATCACATGTTTGGGCTTAGTTATTTATGGCCTTGATCCAACCAACTTATTTTGTATTACAAATTAAAAGATTAAATGGATCACACATCACCATGCATGGATCCAATAAACCCAAAAGGCCCAAACTAAGCCCAACAACCTTTGATCCAGTCCAGCAGCAAGATACCTTCACCAAGCACGTGAATGACGTGCTGCAAAAGGACAAAGAGCAGTAACGGGCTCCCTAGTACAAGCAGGCATTTTTTTGGTGGCATATTCAAGTTTGTTATCATTTCTTGTTTTATTGGTTGATTGAGGTGAGGTGTCCACATTCTAGACTATTTCCTAGCCATGTATAAATAGGTGGTCTTTGTTCAGTCATTATTATCAAATACAGATATCTGAATATTTTTAAGAGAAAGGTTTTGTTGAGTTTTTCA